TGCACTCTCTGCTTGGTTCTGCTCCAACGGGCTCAAAATCAACCCCAACAAAACGGAACTCATTCTATTCGGAACAACAGCGGCTCTAAAAAAGACCGCTGACTTCTCTATCGACTTTGAAGGCGTAGGGGAGAGTGGGGCACATTCGTGCATGGGGCACATTCGTTTTCAGCAGTTTATGGGAACACGAGTGACTGCACGAGTTCAAGGTAAATTATGGAAATATGTCTATCATTGCCGCCCTTCGTTCACCGTAGAAGACAACACTGTACCTGCTGTCATGCTTGATAAAACGCAAATTTGTAATATTCGTGAGCTTTCCAAACTTTTCTCATATCATCCATTTTCGTGATCCTGACTCGGAAATGTGGTTCAGCTTTTCAAAATTGGGGGTGAAGAAGCCCACTCTATTCACGGAACTGCTGCCAACTTGTTTGTTGAAAAAGTGTCATTTTTTCAAAAAGAAATTTTGAAATATATTACTAATAACGTTGTGGGGCAGGTTCGTGTACGCACTGCCTGGGGGCACATTCGTGCATATTTTTTTTTAGTTTTTGCGATTTATGTATTTATCTGTAGTAGGTTTCTCTAATGACGCTCGCCTGACTCAGTCTCGACTGCTTGCGACGTCGTGACGAGCAATTCACGCGAACTTGGCGAGGTCACGGAGGCCGGCAGTTGGCACATTCTTGTTGGCCAGCCCATTCTTTCTACATTTGTTGTGCAATGCATTCTTGTCGAAAGGAATCAAGTGAAATGACCCCCTGCCAATTTCCTTTGGTAAATTTCTGGTAATGCCCGGTAATTTCTCGAATTTTGCCGGGTGAACGGAAGTGCCCCATCTCTTGAACGAATGTGCCCCATAGGTGGGGCAGTTTCGTGCAAATGTTCAGAGTTAATAAAAGTCATTTTTCTAATGGAAGCAATAATTTTATAGGATAACTTTTAAAGAGGAAAACTATCTGCAATAGTTCCTTTCCATACTACAATCAACAATTTTGCCATTGCACTAACCAAAGAACAGATATATGGGTTTATCCATTTTTTTGCACGAATGTGCCCCACTCTCCCCTACAGCTCACACCTGCTCAAAGCGTTAAAATCCTCGGTGTAATATTTGACAGAGAGCTCAACATGCATCAGCAGACGAGCAGAGTAGTGCAGCGATGCTACGGTGGCTTGATCACCATTAATAAGATCAGAGACACACTTCCCAAAACAACTGTACTTCATCTCGTGCGCTCACTGGTCTTCCCGCATGTGACATATTGTTTACCGGCCTGGGCACCGCCTACCAAACGCGAACGTCTGCGCATGGAAAAAGTGATCAACCACGCCGCTCGAGTTGTAACCCGAAAGCGTAAATTTGACCATATCTCACAGGCGAAACGTGAGCTCGGCTGGCTGTCATTCGAGCGCACGATTGACTACAGGGACTGTATTCTGATGCACGCCATGCTACATGAAGCAAACGCGCCAGTCCACCTAAAAAGCCTAGTCTCGATGCGAGCCGACGTGTCAGAGCGTAGCACTAGGGCGACCGCCGCCGATCTTCTCCATGTGCCGCGCGCCCGACTGGAAAGAACGCGTATGGCAACGCCCGTCCGCTCACTGACTGCATGGAACGATCTTGACAAAGGGATGCGCAACTGCGGCAGCGTCTGTACTTTTAAGAAACGAGTCAAGAGTTTTTATCTCAGCAAACAGTAGAATGTCTTTTTAGAATGTCTTTGATCCAGTGTTGTATGACGAAGTTAGTAGTGACTGTATTGTACTGTATAATATGCACTGTGTTTTCATGTAATTTGACGGCAGCCCTGCATTGTATGACGCTGTGGAATAACCAGCCAATTGTATATTGGAATCCACAAAGATCTGCTAAATAAATAAATAAATAAATAAATAAGTGTGTGAATAGGGCTAGAGAGAGCTAGCGTCCTACGGCGACCTCGGTGAACACTGAACTGATACGGACTTAACCCTATTCCTGGCGGGGGGGGGGGCCTCAGGAGCCCCCCCCCTGAGGTTTTTTGGTTATATCTCCCAAACGCGTTGAGCTAGGAAGCTCAAATTTTCTGACTTTTCCTAAAAGGCTTCTACGCAACATGTCTGAAAATTTTGAGTTGATCTGACCTCAGGTCAGGTCACCAGAGGCGGTTTGGTGACGCTACCTCAGAAAAGCTTGCAATCACGCCAGAGCTAGAGTTTTTGACCGATCAATTTCTTCTCTTCAGGGTTTAGTTAGGGTACCAGTATGTGCAATTTGTATATCTCGGAATTTTGATATCGGTGACCTAAGGTCAGGTCAATTTCGCGACCTCCCCATTATAAGTCAATGGGGGAAAAATCAACTCCCTGTTTTTACCACTAAAACGGGTCGGAATGGCCCTATATACCATACATGACTTCATATACGATCAACCTTCACTACCTTGAGGTCTGTTTTGCTGTTGGGCAGCTGTGAGGTCATGTGACGTCATCAAAGGTCACCAAAGGTTTTTGGCCAATAACTCCGTACAGGAACAAGATACAGACGCGTGGATGGTCTCATTGTGTTCAGCTCGTCAAGACGCATCGAATGATATACATGATGACCTCGAGGTCACGTGACCTGAGGTCAACCTTTGACCTTGACCTTTCGAGGTCAACATATATATCATTCGATGTGGATTGACGAGAGGATCACGATGATGCCCTTAGTTTGTTCCTATCTTGACTAATTCGAAAGTTATTCGAGAAAAACTCTCTCCATATCTAGTGCCGCCATTTTGACTTTTTCGACCCCTGTGACGTCATCTTTGACCTGACCTGAAAATGACCTTAGTAAAAATTGTAGATCTTGGCCGTGCGTATCCGATGCCGTTTACCGCTTGTCGCTATCTTGCTTCGTTCTCGAGATCTCAGGGGGGGGGGCCGAATCGGCCCCCCCCCCCCCCGCCAGTTTCTTGTCCCGGCGGAGCCCGCCAGGAATAGGGTTAAGAGGGAGGAGGGGGGCTGATATGTAGTAGACATGTGCATGGATCCGAGTGATTGATCCATGATCTCAGTGGATCTTAAAGGGACCCTCCCACCTTAACATTAGATTTGAGTTGAGATAGCCAAAATGGGGTCCCTGGCTCACAATTACCGGTTTCGGCACTCACAACATCGAGAAATGCCTTAAATCGGAAATATTGAATTTCAAAATTGCAGCATTTTGATTCAGAGGGGCTAATGCTTAGGAATACCCCTCTGAATGTGTGACGTCAGCGCAGATATCTAACGATTTTTAAATGTTTGACTAAAACGTTTTGTAGCACGCGGTGGTATATGCTATTTGCGCGCAACATCTGCCGCAAACGCCGCACTTCTAAAATAAAGTCGCTAGAAACAGCGGAGATCCCAAAAAAGTAAACAAAAGTAAAAGTCTAATATCTTGAAAACCGGTGAATATTTTTCGGTGAAATTTGGTAGATATTCGTTTTCGCTCTTTCTGAACCGAGCGACATCACTTTCATGCCAATTCATAAACTTTTTTGAAGGTGGGAGGGTCCCTTTAAAGCAAACGACAAGCTTGGATCTATAATCCCATTGTATCCCACGTAGAAAATGTATCCTGAATCTCTGAATCTATGATCTCATTGCATCTTATAACAAACCAAAATCAGGATCTGAGATCCGATTGAATCCCACCACATGCAACCTAATGAAACCATGTTTCCATGCGACTTGCTTTGAATTTTGAATTTGAATTTGCGTTGTTTTAAATTTTCTCCGTGTACCAATTCTGCGCCACTGGAGCCGCCCATATACTCCATGACACCCACAGGGTGTCATGGAGTATATGGAGCCTGTGGGCTCCCTGTGGGTGTCAACTTGGTGACACCGTTATAAGTGTAAGCAGCGCTGTGACACCTTTAAATTACACCCGTGGGTATGCAGTTTAACACACACCCAGGCGATTATTGCCCCCAGTATCCCTACGGGTGTTATCTTGGTGACACCATTATAAGTGTAAATAGGGTGTCTGAGGGGAGTCGAAACGCACCCTTGTCTGGGGTGTATGACACCACAGTACAGAAACTGGACACCCTTAGGGATAGTACAATGGTGTATCTTCACGCTCATATAAGTGTTATCTGACACCTTTCAAAAACACCCGTGGGTATGCAGTTTAACCACTTACACCGTTAGCAGTGTTTTAAATTTTCTCCGTGCAAGGTCAGGCCCAAACCAAAGCGGGATGACAATAGCAGATGTTGTCAAATCGATACTGCATCAGCAGAAACCATGCAGATGGCAAGGGAAATGCCGTGTGTTGATGTTTAGATGTATAAAGGAAACAAGAAGGAAAGAAGTCCGGAAAAGGGAGGAAAGACCTTTTGTCGCTGTCTTAATGTTGAGGGGGCGCCGCCCCCTCGGCCCCCAAGTTGGGGGGGGGGGGGCAAGCGCCCCCGCTGCCCCCCCCTCTGTTCCCGGGTCTATATGCTCTGGTGTCAGTGGTGCAGCGGGGAGCTGGCGGCAGCTCTGTCCGACCGCAGTCAGCTGACACAGCTCTGTCCAACAGGGCCGGAGGTGACGGAGCCGAGGTGGCCGGGACGGTACCTGTTGGGTGATCTGTCAGTGTCGCTCCAGGGGGTGACTGCCGACACCATCAGTCACCTGGCTGACCTGGGACGGACGGTCACACGACTGGAGATATACGGTGAGCAGCGGCAGCACGGACAGGCCGCTGATATACGAGCTCAGCGAATGGCGGACACCGAGTAACGGTGTGCCGTTGTCGCACCTCATGGAGACATGTGCAATACATAGCTAATGTGCTTTGCGAAATAATGAAGCCAAATGAGCTCCTATGGAGGAGGACTGTTCAACCAATGACCTATTCGTTCAGAGTTTGTTAGGCATACACATAACATAACGATTGTATTTGAATATTCAATACAATCGTTGTCTGAACCCATTGTACATAATATGCTTATACCCCTTGTCTGCTGTGTCCGTAAAACCATGCGAATTCATAGCTGTTTCGTTTTTTTTCCATATATCGACATGTATTCCTGCCGACTGATCCTGTCTGTCTCTGTGTCTGTGTGTTTTCCAGACTGTCCTGATCTCACGGCCGGCAGCCTGGAGCCCCTCACCAGGTGCCCTATAAAGCTGCACACTCTCACCCTGTCCGGCGGCGTCCCTGACACCGTGAGCCTGGAGCCCCTCACCAGGTGCCCTGGGCTTGAGCGTCTCACCCTGTCTGGCGGCGTCCCTGACACCGTGAGCCTGGAACCCCTCACCAGGTGCCCTGGGCTGCAGTATCTCACCCTGTCCGGCGGCGTCCCTGACGCCGTGCTGGACAGTCTCAGCGGCTGCCCCGGGCTGAAGGTCCTTACACTGGGGGACCTCCAGCGGCCGGCAGAGACGGCCTTCACAGCAGCAGCGGTCACCAGGTCAGTCAGCAGACACTGGCGAGGGGTGTCCTGTCAGACACTGACACTGACACAATGACACTGACACAGACACACTGACACTGACACTTACACTTAAACTGACACTGACACTGACACTGACACACTGACACTGACACACTGGCACTGACACACTGACACTGACACACTGATAGGGACACACTGACACTGACACTGACACTGACACACTGATAGTGACACACTGACGCTGACACACTGACACTGACATCAACATACTAACCCCGACTCACTGACACTGATTCACTGACTGACACCGGCTATGACACAATGACTGACACTCTGACACAGGCACATTTACATACTGACACTGACACTAACACAGCGACACTTGCACATTGACATTGACACACTGACACTGACACAATGCCACTGATGCATTGTCACTGACACCAACACACCGACACTGAAATACTGACACACTGACACTGACTCGTACGTCCGGCCGGCTGGTGCCGCTGTGTTTGTGTGTGACGGCTCTGCTGCTCTGCTCTGTTACAGACTGGTGAAGTCGTGTCGGAAGCTGCGGTATCTGCACCTTCACTGCACGGCAGACACCACCCGGGCCGTGCTGACCGCCCTGAAGGAGGCGGACCTGGGCCGGCGCAGTTATGGCCTGCCCCGTACCATCTATCTCCATGTCCCCGGTAGGTGAGAGGGCGCCGCGCGCCGCGCCTCTGACCAGTCAGTCCCTCACAACAGAGGCTGCACGGCGCCACCGGCCTCTCAGACACACACACACTCGACCACCGCCGCAGGCCACGTCACGGACGGTGACGTGACGCGTCACGGCCACCACGGCCGACGGTGACGTCACGTCAGTAGTCTGTCCTGTGTGTGACGTCACTAGCCGGCGGTGTGTGGACATGGCTGTACCGCTGTCTGTGTGTCTGTCTGTGTGTGACGTGTCCACCTCAGACGTGTCTCTGCTCTGTCCACAGGGGAGCTGTACCGTCAGCTGAGGAGCCAGGGAAGCGATCAGGTCAGAGTGTGTCATTGGTGGAGGTATTGATGCGCTGCATTACCGACCGTGCAGTGATGAGCTGACTGCAGAGAGGCCGAGCCAGTCGGCCGGGGCCGCCAGCTGACTGCTGCCGTGTGTGCTGCACCAGCCGGCACTGAGAGCGGCGCCGGTCAGCCGGCACACGGCCCCGGTGTCCGCTCTAGTGTAGTCATCTAGTTGTAGTAGTAGTAGTGTAGATGTAGTAGTAGCACACGGATGTGATGTAGTGGGTAATTACAGGGCGGGTATTGTGGGTAATTGGACGGGAGATGTGATACAGTGTGTAATTACCGGGTGGGTATTGTGGGTAATTGGCTGGAAGGATGTGACCTGGTGGGTAATTACCGGGCGGGTATTGTGGGTAATTGGGCAGTGAAAAGTGATGTGCTGGAGAGACTACCGATCGTGGCATTACGCTATTCTGTATGTAGAACACACGTCTCTGACCGTCCGACTTGGTTCACCGCGCCTGGTCCCGGCGGCACGGCCGGCCTCGGTCACGTGACCGTCCCCCGGTGGAGTCGGACGGCTCGGTCACGTGACCGTCCCCCCGGGTCTGGCTGCACCTACTGCTGAGCGCCGTGCTGAGCGTGTTGTGACACGTCCCACACGGACAGCTCTACTCGACTACTGGCTAGCTGCCGTCCGAGCTGGCAGTATACACGCGGTGCCAGTTCAGACGGCGGCCGGCCGCGCCGCGCCCGCCCGCTCCGGTCCCGGCCGGCGGCCGTCACCCGGCCCGGGGCGGGGACCGGTCCGTCAGCTGACCATTGGTCAGTCAGCTGACCACTGGTCCGTCAGCTGATTGGTCCGTCAGCTGATTGGTCCGTCAGCTGATTGGTCCGTCTGCTGATTGGTCCGTCAGCTGCCCCGCTCTCCACCGGCGGAGCGCGGCGCACGCCGAGACTCGAGACGTCAAACACGATGTATATAGGTTTAGGCTGGGTTTAGGTTTAATCGGATGTTCTGGTATAGACCATGTGTCTATTCCACTCTATATCATCTATACATACACGAGAGGAGACGCTTGAGCTGTATCATATATGTAGCCTTCAATAAACCAATGAGCAGTGTGCCGAGTGTTTGTCCGGCTGCACCGTCCGCCCCGCTCCGCTGTGAGCCGTCATTTTCCGCCCCGCCCCGCTGTGAACCGTCATTTTCCGCCCCGCTCCGCTGTGAACCGTCATTTTCCGCCCCGCTCCGCTGTGAGCCGTCATTTTCCGCCCCGCTCCGCTGTGGACCGTCATTTTCCGCCCCGCTCCGCTGTGAACCGTCATTTTCCGCCCCGCCCCGCGCGGTCACAGACAGTCCGCCCCGGCGGAGCGGAGCGGCAGTCTCCGTACACCGTCTCCGTACCCGTCATATACGGACCGTACAGCGGCCGCGCACACTGCAGTGACACTGCAGTGACACACACACGGAGACACACGGAGACACATGGACACGGACATACACGGAGACACGGACAGACACGGAGACACCTCGACACGGAGACACATCGACACGGACACACGGAGACACCTCGACACGGACACACACGGACCTACACGGAGACACCTCGACAAGGACACACACGGACATACACGGAGACACCTCGACACGGACATACACGGTGCCCGGCTTCTGCCCGGCCATATCCACCCCCCCCCCCCCTACAGCGAAACAGGTGATGGGTGAAAGTCAGAACTACTCGACTGATGTGGTATTAAAATCAGCACCAAGTCCCCCCCGTCCCTCCCATACAGCGGTGCGGCGCGGCTGCAGAGCTGTCTGCCGACTGGTGCGGTGCCGCCGGCCGTGGCCGCTCGTCTGTCGGCGGGCCGGACTGCAGCCGGTGGCCGAGCTGCCGGTCCCGGCGACTCGCTGCCGGCTGGGCTGACCGCCGTCAGTCACCTGAGCGGTGCTGGCCGGCCCGAGCCGGGGCTGCGGCGCGCCGCGGCACCTCAGCGACGCACCCTCTGGGACACTGAGCGGCGCGCACCGGTGGGACGGTCTCTGCCGACTGTCCCTACCCCAGGAGTGGGACCGGTGGGACTGTCTCTGCCGACTGTCCCCACCCCATGAGTGGGACCGGTGGGACTGTCTCTGTCGACTGTCCCTACCCCATGAGTGGGACCGGTGGGACTGTCCCTGCCGACTGTCCCCACCCCATGAGTGGGACCGGTGGGACTGTCTCTGCCGACTGTTCCTACCCCATGAGTGGGACCGGTGGGACTGTCCCTGCCGACTGTCCCTACCCCATGAGTGGGACCGGTGGGACTGTCTCTGCCGACTGTCCCTGCCCCATGAGTGGGACCGGTGGGACTGTCTCTGCCGACTGTTCCTACCCCATGAGTGGGACCGGTGGGACTGTCCCTGCCGACTGTCCCTGCCCCATGAGTGGGACCGGTGGGACTGTCCCTGCCGACTGTCCCTGCCCCATGAGTGGGACCGGTGGGACTGTCTCTGCCGACTGTCCCTACCCCATGAGTGGGACCGGTGGGACTGTCTCTGCCGACTGTCCCTACCCCATGAGTGGGACCGGTGGCACTGTCTCTGCCGACTGTCCCTACCCCATGAGTGGGACCGGTGGGACTGTCTGCCGACTGTCCCTACCCCATGAGTGGGACGGTGGGACTGTCCCTGCCGACTGTCCCTACTCCATGAGTGGGACCGGTGGGACTGTCTCTGCCGACTGTCCCTGCCCCATGAGTGGGACCGGTGGGACTGTCTCTGCCGACTGTCCCTACACCATGAGTGGGACCGGTGGGACTGTCTCTGCCGACTGTCCCTACCCCATGAGTGGGACCGGTGGGACTGTCCCTGCCGACTGTCCCCACCCCATGAGAGGGACCGGTGGGACTGTCTCTGCCGACTGTTCCTACCCCATGAGTGGGACCGGTGGGACTGTCCCTGCCGACTGTCCCTACCCCATGAGTGGGACCGGTGGCACTGTCTCTGCCGACTGTCCCTACCCCATGAGTGGCACCGGTGGGACTGTCTCTGCCGACTGTCCCTACCCCATGAGTGGGACCGGTGGGACTGTCCCTGCCGACTGTCCCCACCCCATGAGAGGGACCGGTGGGACTGTCTCTGCCGACTGTCCCCACCCCATGAGTGGGACCGGTGGGACTGTCTCTGCCGACTGTCCCTACCCCATGAGTGGGACCGGTGGGACTGTCTCTGCCGACTGTCCCTACACCATGAGTGGGACCGGTGGGACTGTCTCTGCCGACTGTCCCTACCCCATGAGTGGGACCGGTGGGACTGTCTCTGCCGACTGTCCCTACCCTTTATGTGAGTGTCCGTTTCTGCGGCGGCCGCTGAGCCCCCAACCTTGTCCTTCTCCTCTCCCCAGTCCGTTGTGCAGGGTCGCTCGAGGTCACATGGTCAACTGGGCTGTCTTCTCCAATGCACCTTGTATTCGTCGATCGACCTTACACACCACCGTGCAGTCACATGGCTACGACCCGACTCCCCTCCGTGCCGTCCGACGCGCCGGCATGGCCCCACAACTGGGACAAACGGCCGCCGGGGACGCTCCTATGTCCGATGTTCGTCTCCGTCCACACCGGAGAGGACAGGGCAGGCGGCGGCCGGCCGACGCTGCCCGCGGCGCCGAGGTGACAGCCTCAGACCTCGCTGCTCCCAGTACGCTACACTGGTCAGGCCGGGCCGGCGGCGGCGTGCCATCAGCCGCCGGCCAGCCGGCCTCCCCGTACTGACCACTCACTCACATACAACACACACCCCTGTTTATCGAGAAACATACAGAACATACGCTCTGAACTATGTAATCAGCAGTCACGAACGAATAACGATGGTCTTCCATAACTCAACAGTCTCAAATGTCCCGCCCGCCCCCTGATCATCCACCGGTGCCGTCCCAGTGGTCGGTCGGGGCTCGACCGGTGGCCAGTCGGCAGACAGACCGACCGGTCACCGCCAGGTCACGGCCGGCCCACTGACAAGCACGCCGTGCCGCCGCCGGCGCCGTGGCCGTGCTCCGGCCGTGCCCTGACCGTGCTCACCGGCTCTGACACACCGGCCTCAGAGATCTGACACCAACTACGGGCTGGACGAGCCGCCGAGCGGCCTGCCGACCGACCGCTCCCGTATGGCAGCGGGCCGCCGCCAGCTGCACCACCAGACACCGACAACAAGCACCGACACACTGTCGCAGCACATCCAGCAGCCGGCTTGTCTCGCTGTCAACTGCACGTGCCCTCGCCTGTCCATCAACGCACTCACAAAACCAACTAATCACCCTCGCCTGTCCATCAATGCACTCACAAAATCAACCGGTCACCTCTCGTCAAATATACACAAAATAATACCGAGCTCACAACCATTCCCGTATTTATCGGAAAATCCCACCACAGCAGTCACCCCCGTTGCCGTCGTGTGGCCTTTCCGTTGCCGTGCGGAACGATTGTCGGCCCCCGTCGCTGCTGTGGCCAGCGGGCGGCTCCAGCACAGCGGCGAGCGTTACTGGCTGCAGCCGGTGTGTCCGTGCCCACAGCCGGGTGCAGCTGTTGGAGGCCGTGTTGGGGGCCAGTGTGACGTCACACCGTCGTGCCGTCCCAGTCCGTGTCAGTGTCCGAGTGACAGTGGTCTATATATATATACAGTGTCAGCTGTGTCCAGCTGCTGGTGCTCCGACTGTCAGCTGAACTGACACACTGACACTGCAGCCCCTGACAGTATCAGACCGGCCACCGGTCAGTGTCAGCTGCCGGCACGGAGAGCGGTCCGGTGACACTCCCAGCTGCAGCCCCCTCCCCGTGGCTGGTGCCGCTGCAGTCTTATTGTGCCGGTGGTCAGCTCCGTCAGAATCCACCACAAACAGCTGCCGTCACTCCTCTGCCGCCGCTCCGACACTATTCCGGCAGCCGGGCACCAAATAGCTGCAGAGGCTAGCAGTGCATTCACTCCACATGGACACACCGCTCCGAACGTCTCGCCAGACGGACCCGTCTCGGCCGGAGGGGGCGGTGAGGGGGACGCGGCCGATCGGACAGACGGCCACAGCGAGACGCGCCACGGCCGGCCCGGCCCGGCCGAGGGACTCAGCCCGCCGGAAACGGAACACACCGTGCACGGCTGGACGATAGCCAGACGCTCCACTGCACAGTGGGGATTTTTCCGATCTAGCACGTATTTATTCGTAGAGGGCAAACCATAGGTAGTATTGTAGCCAGATTGTGCACAGATGTTGGCTGATGTGTTCTGGTGAGAGTGTTACCTGTAAATGTGCATAATCAACATAGTATAGGGGGGTCAATTGGACCCCCGGCTCAGCCGTTTGGCCCCTGATCAAGCTAGAGCTTCGCGGAAAAATCAAGCGTGCTGTCTATGACGAGATGAGGCCGAATATATCCAATTTCAAAGTCCAAGGTCATTAGTTGACTTTCCAAGTCAAGTCAATGACCCAACTAAAGATGGAAAATCGAGACCTCTTGAAACTTCGTAAAGTTAGGATGTTACGGGGTATTTTGGGGTGCTGATCACGAATTTCATGTTAGTTTTGATCACAGACGATGTCTTCATGCATTTAAGCCAGGTCGGGTCAGGTCAGGTCAGCCAGTAGACGTCCTGCCGGCCATCCATAATAGGTGTCACCTACTACTGACAGCTTCGTAACATGGTACGAAGGCACCAGAACTACTTCGTAAATATTCAAATGGTTGCTAAATTCGAAATCAACACCAAAAACTACCCTAGAAGCAAGTAAAACTCGAAAAAGTGAACCAAGGTCATCGAAGGTCAATGACCTTGACCTGACCTTCACGTGACCTTGACACCCACCATAATGCATGGCACCAGCATCATTTCACATATTTGAACGTTTAAAACCACAAAAAGACTGGAAACCGCGGATAATGTGAGCTGGCATACGCCGAATCGCGATTCCGGCCAAACATGGTCTCGAGAAATATGCCACAGGTCAAAGGTCAGTTGGGTCAGTCATGAAATTTTTAGGTTAGATGTAAAATCGATGATCTCGAGGGCAACGAAAGTTTCGTCGCGATCGGCTGCTTTTTGCGCGAGTGATTTGCGGAAAACCATGGGGTTTTATCCGACTCCTTCCCCCTCCCCCTCCCCACTAGTGCTAGGGTTAACCCTATTAGTGGCAGGCTCCTGCCTACCCCATATTAGTGGCAGGGGGGGGGGCTGTTTACGACCCCCCCCTTGATATCTCGAGATCTAACCGGCCGATTTTCAAAATTCAAACGGCATTCGATTTGGCTCAACGAGATCTACATTTCTAAAAAAATAAAATTAAAAAATGTCAATAGGGGGGTAGAGGGGGGTAAAAACGGGCAAATTGCAGATACATTTTAGACTTTATCACGGCCAGGTTTCTGAACCAATCTTAACGCAACTTTTACCGATCGATAGAGAATGAACCAGGAATTCACATGGATCCTAAAAATATGCATTTTCAAAAATCATAGGCGGATACAGATCATTGAGATTGGGGGTACACAAAAAGTATAGTAAATAAGGTTTTTGTTGGTACTGTTTCTAAAAAGGGTGGCAATGGTCTTGTTATGTTACAATTTTTTTATGAGAGAACGACTAAAATTGTATTGGTCATGCATAGGCGGTGTCAGGGCACCTATGTTGGGAGGTAAAAAATAACCCCCCTTTTTGGACGCCTGGATCCGCCTATTATAGCAAAAACGTGTCAAAAGAGGATGCACAATAACTTTGTATATGTTATCACATGATACCTTTCATTCACTTCGTAAAACTGGTGCAGCATCGTGATCTTCGCCCAAATGACTCGCTTCACAAATAGGACCCCCCAATTCCCAGTGCTCTGGAGCCGCCCCTGGTAAAGTTATGAACTTGAAATTTTCAGGGAATGTGCCCAATTTAGTTTTAGGAAAAGTCAGAAAATTTCAGCATCGTAGCTTCAGCGGTTTCGGAGATATTCCCGAAAAACCTGAGGGGTGGATAAAAACAACCCCCCCCCCTGCCACTAATAGGGTTAATAAGGTTGCGGTATGTATAATTTACGCCTGTCATCCTATTCCTCATGAATGTGTCTCAGAAAATATGCATCATATAAGTCAGGAAGTAAAATTATTCGCCCATGTCTGGAACATACCTATATCGTGCTGTTTGCCCTAGTGCTCCTAGAGTGGGGTATTAAGATACTCTAATGCGAATATTCCGTGTTCAGGCAAGTTCCGGCAGCCAAACTAGGCGTTGTCTTGTGCAGGAGAAAGTGGCGAATTCGATAGGATATGTTTCGGAGTGGAAAAGTGTGGAAAACATTGTTGATTTCCTACATTTATCTAGAATACCACTCCTTCAATATGGTGTCTGTAAGGGTTTTTTGTAAATGACATTTTTGTGACCTTAGTAAGGTTGTGGCATACTTTCTGTTTGCCATTCCATTCCTAATATAGGTGCCTTTCAGAAGATATGCAACTTTAAGAACTCGCAAGAATAAAACCAACAGGACAGGACAATGAAATTGAGCCATACTTTCGGTCCTTACTGAGCCCATTGAGTAATCACGCATGAGTGTGAACTTTGGGCGCATTTTTCCTAGTCTTTCTGTGGACATACAGATAAAACAATGCCATATATGAAAAATTCAGACATTTATTAGCCCCACTGACACATAAAATAAACAAAAACCCAAAAAAGATTTTTTGAATTAATAGGCGCTAGATCGGAAAAATCCCCACTGTGCACTGGTCAGGCCGGGCCGGCGGCGGCGTGCCATCGGCCTCCCCGTACTGACCACTCACTCACATACAGCAGGCTTAGCGAGCGGTAGATGGACTCACGGGCTACGTCTGATCGTAGTTGACATGCCCACTGCATTGCCTGTGGCATAACGATACACATCGCAGTTGTGGTATGAGACTGCAATTTGAAGGACGTCTATGCAGTGTTATAATCGATTTGCTGTAATGTGGATGGGTGCCAAGAACAATCAAAATGCAGCCTCTAAAGATAGGTCTTTCCTTATCCCGCGCACCGACGGGGGGGGCGGATATCCGCCCCCCCTGAGGTTTTTCGCGGATAGCGGGAAAACCGCGGCGCGTAGTGCCGCGAAATTTGGTATGACTATTCTCTCATCAATTTTACACATGGTGTGCAAGTTTGAACCTCCTAACTTTTAAGGTCAGGTCACCAGGTCACTTTGAATGACCCAACCTCAAGTCACTTTTTTGCAACTTTGTCACCATGCCAGAGCTACAGTAGATGTCGGAGGCCTTTGAAAGTCGCAGGATGTTATTAGGTCATTAGTAGCTACAATTTGTATATCTCGGAATTTTGATGTCGGTGACCTAAGGTCAGGTCAATTTCGCGACCTCCCCATTATAAGTCAATGGGGGAAAAATCAACTCCCTGTTTTTACCACTAAAACGGGTCGGAATGGCCCCATATACCATACATGACTTCACATACGATCAACCTTCACTACCTTGAGGTCTGTTTTGCTGTTGGGCAGCTGTAAGGTCATGTGACGTCATCAAAGGTCACCAAAGGTTTTTTGCCAATAACTCCTTACAGGAACAAGATACAGCCGCGCGGATGGTCTCATTGTGTTCAGCTCGTCAAGACGCATCGAATGATATACATGATGACCTCGAGGTCACGTGACCTGAGGTCAACCTTTGACCTTGACCTTTCGAGGTCAACATATATATCATTCGATGCGGATTGACGAGAGGATCACGATGATGCCCTTAGTTTGTTCCTATCTTGACTACTTCGAAAGTTATTCGAGAAAAACCCTCTCCATATCTAGCGCCGCCATTTTGACTTTTCGACCCCTGTGACGTCATCTTTGACCTGACCTGAAAATGACCTTTGTAAAAATTGTAGACCTTGTCCGTGCGTATCCGATGCCGTTTACCGCTTGTCGCTATCTTGCTTCGTTCTCGAGATCTCAGGGGGGGGCGGTCATCCGCCCCCCCCCCCCCCCCGTCGGTACTAAGTTGGCGCAGACCCCCGTCGGTGCGCGGGTTATAAGAGTCATATGAATAAATGACATCTGTACAAGCATATCATGGGTGGAGAATAAGGGGTTTTGGGGGTGCTCGAGCACGCCCCTGAAATTAAAAGGTTACCACGTAATAATGCT